TAAATTTTATGCAGCAGCAATGTAGTTGGGGCGGGTGGAGGGCAAAGAGGGCGGGGCCTAGAGTGACTAACCAAGTACATGCACATTTAAGAGGGATAAAACGCATAAAATAAATGAAGTGCACACACACACACACACACAGCAGCAGTAATAACAACTATGTGTGTGTGTGTGTGTGCTGTAACTGACGAATATTGGGAGAAATGCCTCATAAAATAAATGACTCAGCTGTTAATGTGCATAAGGCGCATATCCTTTGGCCTTTAAAGGAATTTTAGCTCCGTTTATTGATTCGTTTTAAATTTGATAAGCAGACCCCCACAAAAAAAACAATTGACTCATCGTGCAAGTGAACATGAATGTTCGACCATGTGGCATATAGTCCAGCTGCTGCTCCTGCTCCTGCCCCTGCCCCTGCCCCCGCCCCCTCCTCTCTCCTCTGGCATGTGTGTGCCTGGATTTAACAACAATTTTCTGGCTGCACAAAGCCTTTTAATTAAAAATGTGAAATCATCTGCATTCGGCGGCAATGTCTGCTCAAATTTACCTTTGTCGAGCCAATATTTACCTGTTCTGATTTTAAAATTTCTAGTCAGTGCCTCGCCCCCCGCTCCTCGCCGCTCTGTTGCTCTATGCCATATCCATTGGCCATGGCTCCTGACCCTGTCAGCATATTTTATTTGCCCATGTCAAGAGTCTGCAGAGTGCGAAAACAAATATCAATATATACATATATGTGTATACATATGTATATTTTATATATACACATGAATTTATTCGGAATTTAAACTAACCAGAATGCAGTTACGAATGCAACCATCAATCATTCAGGTTACAAAATTTGTTCAAATTATACAACACTGGCAAGTACCGTTAACATTTGCATTTACTTAGCATCTGGCTGGAAGTTTGATTGATGGATATAAATATTATGTTGGGTTATGTATTATGCTACAATATTAGCTGAAAGGTGGATAAAATCATTCATCAAATGGAAAATACATTTTCCGTGTGTAAAATGCCAAGCAATTACATAATAATATATATGGAAATTTATATTCTTCAACACTTTAAATGTTATTAAAAGATCCGAGACGTCAGTTTCACTTGCACATGTGTGAATATAGCCAAAGTTTATACATTTAGTTTGTCCTTCCTGGTCACTTGACATGACAGTACTGTACATGTTAACCTCATGTTAACTGGCATGAACATGCCATAGAGAATAGCAATATGCAAAGACAACGTTTTAATTGAATACATTTAAATGCAACATCATCTGCATGTTCACTTTTAAAACGAAATCACAATTCGGAACATCCTTCAGCATTGTGCAGTGTAATGGAAAATTTTGCTTGTTAAACAAGTTGAACACAAAGTAAAATGGTTCAGTTTATAACAGAGAGGGCAATAAAGTGCAGCAGCAAGAGGCAGAGAGAGGGGGCAAATCGAATGCAATTGTTGCCAGAAAAGCAATGCCAATGACAGACACAATTATGCAAATGTGTGAGTGTGCGTGTGTATGTGAATGTGTGTGTATTTGCGTGTGTGTGAAAGCAACATTGCATAATGAATGCTCTACGATGCGTGGGTGTTCGATATGTTCGTGTCATGTTAAATATGTGCACACACAAACACGCACACACACACACACACACGCACACACAGCAGCCATTGTCCAGTGATGCGTGCAGCTGAATCTGAGCTGAATGTGAATGTGAATGCGAATTGCGAATGCGAATGAGTGCCCTGAATGTGCGAATGTGAGTGCCTTGCGATTGGTTTGCCATTTGTTGTTTGTGTGCCATGTCGCAACTGACCCTTTGATTTATCAAATGAAATTGTTAATTTGCAGCCAAAGCCAATTTTCAGCTGCACATGTGCCACAGCCCTTCCCCTCTCTCTCTCTCTCTCGCTCTCTCTCTCTCTTTCGCCTGCTGCATGCCACAGAAAATGTGCAAGAACATTTGCTGCGGCTGCAGTTGCTGTTGCACATTCAGAATTGACAATAATTGAGTACAACAGCAACAACAACTTAAGTTAATGCAGTTTCGGTTTCAATTTCAATTTCAGTTTTGAGCTTCAATTTTGAACCACGAAATGAAAATTTCAATTAAATTCTGCACTCGGTCCAATTAATCGATTTCCATTTAAATTTTAATTTAAATCAATTGCCGCACAGATTTGTTGCTCTTGTTCTTGTTAATGTTTGCAACATGCATTTGTTTGACTTGTGGCTTTGTGGGTGTGCGTGTGGTGTGTGTGTGTGGTGTGTGTGTGTGTGGCATAGAGATCAGACAAAATGCATTTACCATAACCAAATTGATGGCGATTTTAATTGGCATTGATTGCAAAATAACAATTGCATTTAATAACCCCCCGACACGCATTTATGCATACCCCATACAATAAATATTTATTGCTACACACACAACACACACACACACTGTCACACACCCCTCAAAATATTGAAACCAATTTATGGCCTCAATCAAAAATGCTTGCATAATTCTCCCTCCGTTCGCTGTCATTCTCTTGCTGTCCCTGTCACTCATTCGCGGACTCTACCTGTCTCGCACTGCTAAAACAATTACCATTCCAGGGGTGGGAAGGGAGGTGAACGCGCTGCAAGAAGCCATTTTTGTTGGGTTCAGCTGAAGCCAGCGTGGACACACAATTTCCGTTGCATAACTTGACGCTTCGCTTAGTTATGCACTGAAGAGAACTAGTTCAATACACCAAATAATTCTTCGGAGCTGACTTATATAAATGAGCTCGACTACGCGAGCTAAATTTTGTAATACTATTGCACAGCAAACGGAACTAGTTCCTTACTGATTAAGGGATTTACATTTTATATTGAAGGCAAGAAAAATATTGCCAGATTTAGATGCCAAATGGAAGTAAAAACCAAACCATGAACAAAAATCGGATGAGATTTGAACGAGTTATGGAGGTGACAAATTTCGACCTATGTATGTATGTCTACATAGGACATTTGGGGGTACTATTTTCACATGAATTTTGACTAAAAGTAATGTTACCAAAAATAATGTTGTCAGATTTAGATGCACGATTAGTCTAGAGGTCAAACCATGAACAAAAAGCCAAACTTTATGAAAATCTGTTGAGTTTTAATCAAGTTATGGGGTTGGGAAATTTCGACCTATGTCTATATAGGACATTTGAGGGTACTATTTTCACATGACTTTTGACTAAAAGTAATGTTATCAGATTTAGATGCACGATTGATCTAGAGGTCAAACCATGAACAAAAAGCCAAACCTTATGAAAATCTGTTGAGTTTTGACCGAGTTATGGGGTTGGGAAATTTCGACCTATGTCTATATAGGACATTTGAGGGTACTATTTTCACATGAATTTTGACCAAAAATAATGTTGTCAGATTTAGATGCACGATTGGTCTAGAGGTCAAACCATGAACAAAAAGCCAAACTTTATGAAAATCTGTTGAGTTTTAATCAAGTTATGGGGTTGGGAAATTTCGACCTATGTCTATATAGGACATTTGAGGGTACTATTTTCACATGACTTTTGACTAAAAGTAATGTTATCAGATTTAGATGCACGATTGATCTAGAGGTCAAACCATGAACAAAAAGCCAAACCTTATGAAAATCTGTTGAGTTTTGACCGAGTTATGGGGTTGGGAAATTTCGACCTATGTCTATATAGGACATTTGAGGGTACTATTTTCACATGAATTTTGACCAAAAATAATGTTGTCAGATTTAGATGCACGATTGGTCTAGAGGTCAAACCATGAACAAAAAGCCAAACTTTATGAAAATCTGTTGAGTTTTGATCGAGTTATGGGGTTGGGAAATTTCGACCTATGTCTATATAGGACATTTGAGGGTACTATTTTCACATGAATTTTGACTAAAAATAATGTTGTCAGATTTAGATGCACGATTGGTCTAGAGGTCAAACCATGAACAAAAAGCCAAACTTTATGAAAATCTGTTGAGTTTTAATCAAGTTATGGGGTTGGGAAATTTCGACCTATGTCTATATAGGACATTTGAGGGTACTATTTTCACATGACTTTTGACTAAAAGTAATGTTATCAGATTTAGATGCACGATTGATCTAGAGGTCAAACCATGAACAAAAAGCCAAACCTTATGAAAATCTGTTGAGTTTTGACCGAGTTATGGGGTTGGGAAATTTCGACCTATGTCTATATAGGACATTTGAGGGTACTATTTTCACATGAATTTTGACCAAAAATAATGTTGTCAGATTTAGATGCACGATTGGTCTAGAGGTCAAACCATGAACAAAAAGCCAAACTTTATGAAAATCTGTTGAGTTTTGACCGAGTTATGGGGTTGGGAAATTTCGACCTATGTCTATATAGGACATTTGAGGGTACTATTTTCACATGAATTTTGACTAAAAATAATGTTGTCAGATTTAGATGCACGATTGATCTAGAGGTCAAACCATGAACAAAAGCCTAACCTTATGAAAATCTGTTGAGTTTTGACCGAGTTATGGGGTTGGGAAATTTCGACCTATGTCTATATAGGACATTTGAGGGTACTATTTTCACATGAATTTTGACTAAAAATAATGTTGTCAGATTTAGATGCACGATTGATCTAGAGGTCAAACCATGAACAAAAAGCCAAACCTTATGAAAATCTGTTGAGTTTTGACCGAGTTATGGGGTCGGGAAATTTCGACCTATGTCTATATAGGATAATATTACGTATACCTCTGCGTTGCCCGTGGCACTTTTAAAATAAATTCACTCCGCTATCTTTGAAAATGAGTTTTCAACCGATCGGGAGGTAAACAGAAAAGTTTCATACTAACATATTCCGCGATTTTTCCACACATGCGGGTGGAATTTCTCGAAACGCGGTGTTAACGTAACATAAGGTAACAACAGTGAAAATTTCAGGTCCCTAGTCAGTCAAGAGATAATCCTAAATGTATTATTCGATTCATTTCTAAACATACTTTTTCAGATATGAACCAGCAATTCGGAACTTGTTCACCTTGTCAAAAACGGAAGAGGACACACGCTCAAATGACTTCAATGAAGGCAATTTCCTCACACGTCGTCGTCAGAGCGTTGATTTAATTTAACCTTAAATGGGAAACATCTATGCACGCGTATCTTTCCGGTGAGTTATCGAGTTCCCGTTCATGTTCGTTCCTCTGACTCATGTGACAAGGCATATTTGTGGCGCAGAGCCTTTTGTTTGACGCAAAATTCAATTAACGCGCGACGCACACGGAGCCCACAGCCAATTTACAGTTAACCAACATTTGAATGACTTTGGCGGAAAGCGGCGCTGAATGCGGACGTCCCTGCTCGGGCGCCCGCTCCTTGACTGACTGGGGGAGTCTCTTTGATAAGTTGTAAAATTTAATGCGCCATCATGGTCGTAAAATCTGTGTGAGGCGTCGACAACAACTCAATGAAGTTGCCACACACAATATAAAGTCATAAAACGGAAGAGGGCGCAAAGAGGGCAGCGGGGAGGGCGCAAAGAGCATAAAGCAGCCAAATATTCATGATGTACGGGTTGGAGGCAGGCAGGGCTGGAGGAAGTCAGGGCCGGAGTCGGGGGAAGCTCACAGCGTGGATGGGGCACAGTGCATGGCTGGCTGACTAGCCTGGCTAGTCTGGCTAACGTGGCCAGTTGCTGTTGCTTTAAGCGAATGTCTGAAATTCCGTTTGGCAAACATTTGGCCTCGATAAACGTGGCACCCGTTTCGCTTTGGGGGGGTGTTCCTGTTTCCGGCTCCTACTTGTGCCGCCCCCTCTTCCAAGTGTTGATAGGAAGGCATTTTCACAGGTGTTGCGCTGCAGCTGATTTAAATTATTCGCATGTTTGGCTTTTGGCCTGGCCAGGGCATAAATTCCGTTCTGGAAGGGAGCGGGAATTGAGACCTAACGCAACCCAACCCAACCCGATCCGACCCGACCCGACCGAAACCGTAAGCTGACCGAAAGCAATTGGCCGAGATAAGATGTAATGGCTTTTTATGGCCCGGCCTTCATAGTTATCTACAGGAATTACGAGGCGAGGCCAACGCCTGGCTGACCAACAGACAGTGCAGCTCGTTGCTGCAGCTGCTCCTGGACACAGCTTAAAGTTCCGACAAAGTCAATGACACTTGGCCAAGTGTATTGCCAAGCAGCCACCCACATGACTTGGCTACAACTCGCCCGTAGCAAGTTGCCCGTTGCCAGTTGCCAGTTTAATGGCCGCTGAATGATTTAGCAGAAGTCTGCCGACTCGGCTAGCAGCCACTCCTTTCACTCCTTCGACTCCTTCCGCTCCTTCTGTTGCTGCTGCTGCTGCCTCCTGTTTGTTTGCCAAGTTGGCAGCCGGCTGCACGTTTCCCACGTGTATCAGGCCACGTTCGATTCATTCTGATTCAGTTTGATTCATTTGAGCTGCGCTTTGCCCGCCGCATGCCGCACAGCCGCAATTTACATTCAATTTTAGATCCATGCCACAACGCATAATGGCGAGACAACAAGTTCCCCTTTCAGTAACCAACTCCCCAACTCTCCCGCAATTCTGGCCACAATAAGCTGCTCCGTGTTGCCGCATTTTGTATCATTTTTATTGTTACTCCGCCCACGGCCCCGCGTTCGGGCTCAGACAATTGCACTTGATATCTCAGGTGCTCGCTTTCGCACATGTATTTACATTACCAATGCAGCTGAACGACTCGCCCGCCCCCCCATCGCACCCAACGCACCCTCGCCCGGGCACATACAACCCCTCCAGCTTGCCTTGCTTGTGCTCGCTTACCCAACCAAGTCGTCCTGTTTCGCCTTGACTTTCCTTGAATAGTTTGTTCTGCATTGTATGCCAACTAGCTTGTTCCCTCCAACTTCTTCCCGCCGTGCATGTTCAGGGAAAAACACACATTACCCACATCTGTGATGAGTCGAAAGTCGAGCTGGGAACTCTCCCACTGGGAACTTTTGCCACAATTACAAGTATCGAAAGCTGCACTTTGAAGTGCACTTTTCATGCGAAAACACTTGAAGCGAAGTGCTTTCTGGCCGAGATTGGATTGGGCTTCCGCACCGAGTGCTAAAACCACAAACATTAATTGCAGTATGGCTCAAAGTGCCGACAATTGACCAATCAAATAATTTGGCAAGCTTTAAGCGATATGGGCGGTACAAAATATATAAAGGAAGAAACGCAGAGCAGGAATATAATTTAGTGAAGACCATAAGGAAAGATCTAACTAGTCATTGCCCATTAAATTTCTTTATTACTCGAGTATTCCTGACATATGTCTGTACACTTTCAAGTATATCCGGTAGCTATATAAATGTAATCTCCTTTAAAGAGGCTTTCATTTCTTCTTCTTTTCCGCACACATGTCAGCGTGTTTTGGATGGGGTGTTAACGTAAACGAAAAGCACACAATGAACTTGATTATGTGCTTTCATTCACACCTTTTGCGGCTTTTCTTTTTCGCAGCTTTTCATCAACATTTCTGTGGCTTTTCCGCACTTGTTGTTGCTGGCTGTTTCAAAACAAAAATTATTTCCAATTTGAGTTCTGCCAGCCATGAAATTAATTTCGTTTGCTTTCCCAAGCAAACAAAACATCCTCGTGTAGGATCTCTAATCCCTAACCACATATATGTACAGAGTTATGTATGGGACTCTTGAGTTAGGAGCTGGCCTTCACACAGAGTTCATGTTGTCTGAAATCAATCTTTGTTCACATTTCAAGTGCTTTTAACCTACGCTCACAATTGACGCTTCTATTGTTCAAGCAATTGTCCTGCAGGACAAAGGACAAATGTGCTGTGGCTTTCTAGGAACAATTGAATCCTTAGAGTGATTCCTTTAAGGGGCGAATATATTTATTTGCCGCGTATTTATTACACTTATTCATCTCATCCGGCGGACAGCTCTTTATTATGCGATTCATTTTCATCTACTTTATTTCAAGTTTATCTCAATTTGAGCCAGCTCCCCTGACCAATCGCCCTCTTCACTTTTTCTCCACTCCATAAAATACGATTACTAATCGCTTTGTCTACCCAGCTTTGACCTGGCCTGGGTCTGCTCGGGTCTCTGGTTCTGGTCTAGTCTGGTTCCATGGGTGTTTCTTGCTGCGGGCCCTTTTTGCGCAATCTCTTAGTCATCCACGTCACAGAAGGACACGCCCACTGCACAAGAATTTGCCAGCTCATCATTTGTGCAGTGCTGTGTAATTAAAGGCGCTCCAAAAAGCTCGACCACAGCTGAGACACAGTCAGGCAGTCAGCCAGCCAGCCAGGCCCAAGGCAATCGCAAAGGACACTGTGTGAGTTGCTTAGTCCTGTGCAAAACCTATGGCCATGCCCATGTCTATGACTCTCTATGACTGTGTGTGTGTGCCGCCTTTTCATGTTGATTATGCTAATTTCCAAGTCGACTCCGAACACAAATTTCGAGTGAACATGTTTCAGCAATGTTCAACAGCAGCTGCAGCAGGACTTGGGAGGGGAGGGGGGTGAAGGGAAAACAGCCGAAGGACCTGTCAGCCGCACAAATCCATCCATGGGACGTCTTTTGGCTTTGGCTACATCCGTTTCGCACAAGCGTCGCGCACTTCCTCTTCCGCCGCGGGCTATACAAGAAATGCCGTTTGCCACTTTAATGAAAAATGCTGTATAATTCAAACCCTCCCCCCCCCCCACACACACACACCTTACCCCTTCACCCTTAGAGTTAACCACTTAGGTGTTGGTTGCTGCCTTTGCCCGTAATTAAGGCCCGGGAGAAGTGAAAGCAATGCGCATGCTGTACTCGCACAGCCCACAGCTCCTGGCCATTAACTCCACACTTCGATGGCTAAGCATAAAGTGCGACACTTGCACAAAAGAATACCCCCCCCCTCAGCCCCTCGCTTCCCACACTACAATCTGAGCAGGGTGTAGGGTGGAAAAGGGAGCACAAAGGTTTGGGCATGGAGAATTGGGTTTTTGTGGCTGGGGGCAACCGAAAAGGCGACTGTGAATTGTGCGCACAGCTGACAGTTTTGAAAAATGAATGGGCGCACGGGCGAGTGGGCGTGTCAGCCGGCGCGAGCAAAGTCATAAAGCAGCGGAAGCCGCTCTGCGGCGCAAATGTGGCGGAAAATATGGCGTCAGTCAAAAGTCAGCGCAGCGCGTTTAATGCGCGCGACAGCAAATAAATTGCATTCGGCTGCAATGCATCCAACCAGCCCCCTCAGTCCCCTTAGCCCCTCCATCTAGTGCAACCTTAAGGCGGGCCAAAGGTGAAAGGAGAGCTGGGAAAGTAGCTCAGACAAAGAAAAGAGGGAAAAGCAATTTTAATGGACTTGAACCACCCGCTGCGTACGCTAGCAAAAGGTGCGAAATGCGAGAGAGAAAAATTGAAGAAAAAAAACGGAGAAAAACCCTTTTCCCTTTCTTTGAATGAAACTAATAAAGCATCACGACATCACGACATTGAAGCCCCGAGAAAGAATTCGCTCTGCACCTGCACAATGGCAAACAATGATGAATGCGAGCTATTCCTGAAGAAAGGAAAAACGAATAAAACGATGACAATGAGCCAATAAAGTGAATGGCGCAGAATGTCATAAAAAGCCAACTTCAAAGCTCAGCAGATATCCCTCGAATGCACAAGTTGCCAAAGGATCTCGTGCAACCTAACTAGTTGTTGTAACTTCATTTTAATTGCTGTGACAGCCAGGCCAACATCTGCCCCAATCCCTGCCCCAATCCCTGCCCCAAAATGTCATTCCTAACCCTACGCAATAGTCTCGAATGTTGCTCGAATGTATCCTAAATTAAGTTGTTATCCAGTGAAAAAATATGCAAATTATTTTTGGCTCATGTCAGACATAAACTTTTTTTATGGCCAAGTGACATGTCAGCCCAGTCTCTCTCGCTCTCCCTCTCTCCCTCTCTCTCTCTCTTTCTCTCTCTCTCTCTCTCTCCATTAGCAACCCCTTGACTCCCTACAACCTCCCTTCCCACTCCCTTGCCATGGCATTTGTCTAGCGAACACTTTCGTCTGGCGCCGCGGCCAAAAAAAAGAAACGAAACAACAGCCACAACCAGCCCACATGTGTGTGTGTGCGTTGTGTGTGTTGATGATGATGGGGACGTGTTCAGGTTTATG